AACATCAAATCTGTTCTCCCTACACCCATCCTATGATGTTATCAGTGTGAAATTTTGAAATACTTCGCCGCCATCACTCAATAATTTTTATAGTTATTCCCCCTGAATCATATATAAATATATATGTAGAAGACATTAAATGTTCAGCTAAATCTCCTTAGCACAGCATGATGTGAAAATGTATTTCGGATTCAGAAATGATACTAAGTAACTCTGCATACTGAGGCACCAGATGTATTACTGTCAAACTATCCATTTCGTGATAATTCCCAAACATTTCTTCATTAAAGTAAAATCAGCTATACGAAACAGGGTAGGATACCATTTCCAAAAATTTTAAATGGAAAAAAAATTTTTCGGAAACTTCCAATAACATCTTCTCTTTCATCCTTAACATCTAAAAATGAATTGTTTAAATTTCTACAAATTTATACAGGTGAAGAGCATATGCGATGAACACGGAATAATGAAGTACCAACAAGAAATTATCTCATACCTCATACACATACAGACAATCCCGTTTTATTCTCCTCCCGAAAGCCATCGATACATGAACTGTGGTTTCAAAACCTGCTTGTTTTCAGTCTATTAAATACAATAAATGTCAAATTCCAGCAGTTCGTTGAATGCAAAATGTTAAATTCATATAACTTCTATAGCAGTATTAAATATATAATAAAATTACCTCATATCTTATACACATACATGGTAATATATCATAAAAATTACAGTTTAGTCATTAATTTCTCAATCTTTATTATTATTATTTTGAGCAATGAAACAGCCATCAGCAACATGAGACAGGCAACACCTGCCCATTATCCGTAATAATAATGATAATGATGAATGATATCATAGGGTACGAAGAACACACCAACACTAGCGGCACTTCTCCATCCTCAGCCTTTTTAATTCTACCGATTACCAAAACCCAATTCTGGAAGAGTACAATAATTTAACCAGCAACAATTCTGTTTTAATTCTAGCCGCTATTTCAGACCATATGAACTAAATTGGTCTTCCACCCACCAGTACTAGGCTGATTCAGATATCGAGTTTAACTTCATTGAGTTTACTCTGGTCAGTTTCTAAATGCCCACAGATCATTTTTTGTTCGTAGTCTGATTGTACTTTTTTGAGATATACAAGTAAAATAAAATAAATTTCAGCTTGATTTAATTTACCGAATAATCCAATATATCTTATTTAATGAAATAGTATTCGAATTCATTTCCAGCTAAGTAATAAAGCTATTTTGAGTGCGTATTCCCATTAATTCCAACGGAATCAGATATCTTCCCATTGATGTATAAAGAAAGATCAAGATTATCCAACAGTAATAAGCCACCACTCATCCTTCATTTTATGGTCATCTCTTATAAAATTGCCTAAGCCCATAATCAAAGTGTAAATCAGAGAAGATAAATGTTACAAACATTCTGAATTTTTGTTAATTTTCTTGATTGCAAAAATTTCATGAAACGAAAGACCAAAGCCAGAAAGCATTGACTTACTACTAGTTTTAACCCAGAAGCAAATATATGCCAAAAAGCTATTTTTTCAGGTAAAAATCCGTAAGGTCCACCCAATGGAGAAAGAGAAGAAAATAAGTGAAAGATTCAGAATTCCGTCTCCTGAGATGAATACATAACTGGATAGGAATGCTTCATACCTCTCAAACATGACACCCTCGTGGATGTTCATCTCAACTACTTTTGCAAGTAATTACTAGTGAAAAAATATTACATATAGTACAGCCAATGTTTGCTAGTAAATGAATGAAAACAAATATAGAAAGGACAAGACGGAAAGGTTTATTCCTTTTTTGCTTCCTGAAGCGTAAAAATGGGTTAAAGGATACATCGGTAACTTAATACTACCATATCACATATGTAAATAAATTAATTAATCAATTAGATAAATGAATGAGTAAAATTAAACAAAGAAAAAACAAATT